ATGAACCTTGTAAGCTGATGTCAAATGATTCTAGTACTCAGAATAATTACTACCAAAAAGTTCATTCAGTTTCTGCTCTTGAGGAACTTGAAATTAAATTGTTACATTGCAAGGAAGCTATTCAAGCAAATGAAAAGTCTTTATTTTGGTGATTATAGTAATATTTCCTTCTAAGAACTATTATTATTTTTATTCCATTTCGGCTTCATTACTAATATGTATGTCATAGAGAGACAAGGCATTGCCTATAGGGACTCATCCTTGTGGAGAACAAACTTTGGCTGACTAGTGACTGAAAATGGGAGATTATAGAGTAATACGGAACAGTAAAAGGATCAACACTAACAAGTAGCAATGCCTTTCAGCCTCTGTGGCAGTGAAAGACTCTACATTATTTTGAGACTGTCTCATAAAATAAATTAAGCATATCAAATAAATTAAGCTTTTCAATTAATTTCAAAAAAAATGAATTAAAAAAAGACTTGAAATGCCTGAATAAAATCAAGGGTTCCTTTTTCTTCAGACCCTGCCCCCCACCAGGTGGATTGTGACATAAAATCCATTTTGACCTGCTGACATCATGGGATTCTTTGCCTTGATGAGGCTTTGCTGAAAATGCTTTCCTTTGAAATAATTGAAAAATCGTCTTCAGTGGAGCAATTTGTGCATCTACAATGTTTTCAAGAAAAACAACGGGTATTCAAAACTAAAAGAAAAACAAGTTAAAACAAAACAAGATGAACATTCACCAGCTTTCCTAAGCCTCCTGACCACCCCACAAACACAGCATGTGTGGTTCTGTCCCTCAGTGTAAAACTGCCCACTGCCGCAAGGGAAATCAGATAGAAGCTAACAAAATGTATCCTCCAACAAGACTGTAATAAGCAAAAGTAGGTAAAACTTCCAGATAGCTTTCCAGGGCAGTTCTTCCACCACTCAGCTTAAATGCCTCCTCTGTAAGTGGTAACTTGATGTCACTTGTTTACCAAAGCTCATGAAAACTACTCACAGAGAGCCCTGGTGATCCCATTGCACCAGGTAAGCCTGGGTCGCCCTTTTCTCCATGTCTTCCAGGATATCCCATTTGTCCTTTCTTTCCTTGAGTACCTGGAGGTCCTTGCATACCACGGGGACCAGGAGGACCAGCACCACATGAGCAGAGGCCTTGATTTCCTACGTGAATGTGTCAAAATTACATTGAAACAGTTGCAAAGTTAATACACAAAAAAATAACACTGCCCTTTTTCCTTTTTTGTGTGAGTAGTGCACAGAGCATTTTATCTCGTTATGGCCTTCAGAGGAGTGTAGCATATCAGTCTCTTTACAGTGCTGAGTAACTGCTGCATTGACATGACTCTACTGACTTAGAAGCCCCAGTGCCAACAGGCAATTTAGCTCCACACTTTCATGGGCCTTATCCTTCAACTTACCATAAACTTCTTGCAAATTTAGGTCTGACGTACCTGGAAAAGATCTCATATTCAAATTGTTCCTATCCAGGCGTACTTACCCTTTTCTCCTTTTTCACCTTTTCTCCCCGGAAAGCCGATCTGACCTTTTGCTCCAGGTTCTCCAGGGATCCCTCTGTCAGTACAGACTACACCTTTGAAAAAACAAATCATACAGCCAGTATAAATCAGGTTGACTGTTTCCACAGCTTAGGTTATGTGTTCTCCTTTCCCTTCTCTTGTTATTCTCATGTGAAAAGCTAGAGATCTTATAAAATGCTTTACAAATCGTTGCTTATAGATCATACTACAGGAGTCAGTCTGGCTAGAGTTGATGTTGACACATTGTTTTTTCATTGCCACTACTTCTTCTTTTTTCCACTGTACAACTTTACGACTCTTGCTTCTTTACTAAAGGATGCTGATATGGGTTTCCTCCCCAGCCTGCTGTGTTTTTAACTTCAGGTGATGTATTTTTAGGGACATTTTTCATATATGTTACTTCGTGGGTTTGAATCACCCAGAAAACTATGAAAATCTTGAAATCTCACTGATCGACAACTAATAAGAAAAAAATGTTTTCTACATCACATGTAAAGTTTGATATATCTGTCAAAATGCACTTTTCATTTCTATGTGTTTTGTAGGATCAAGAAAAGCAATGAATCTATTAATACACAGAACGATATTCTCGCCATATAAATTGCTGTTGAACCTACTGGGTAGTCCAGGTACGCCTTGTCTTCCTGGCTCTCCTGGTAGGCCAGGTGGTCCAGGAAACCCAGGTATTCCTGGGATTGATTCACCTGTTCCAGGAAAACCAGGGTCACCTTGAAAACCTTGAGGTCCTGCTACCCCACTTACTCCTGGCAGGCCAGGCAGACCTATAAAAAAAAAAAGGTATATGGCCCATACAGCTTCACAGTAATGATTACTACAAGATATCAAGGAGGAAATTACAGACCAATCAGAACTGTCCTGAAGAAGAGCTTCTATATAACAAAGACTTAAATCTAAATCTTTAGGTTTTCCAGGATTCTCAGGAAAAGAGGCTTCTGCTTTAGACCTTCAAATGCTTCTTTTCCTCCTCCCCATTACCTCTTTTCCAGACATCCCAGTTATTCTAGTTCCTTACACAGAACAAAGTCATCCTCATCGCCTTCCTTTGTATCTTTTTGAGATGGAGAATAGAATTTTTGAACATAGCACTCCAGATACAGGCATATCATGGATTCACAGTGCATGGCAACATTCTGCTTTGTCTTCTGTTCCTTTTCTAGTAATTCCTAATGTTCCGTTTGGATCATTTTGGTTCTTTTTTGGCCGCTTAGTGCTGAACTACTATTTTTATCCAACTGTCTGTACAGCTCAAATCTTTACTGTTGGTGACTTGCATCAAGCAAGAACATAGAACAGTTTTATTTTAGCTGCTTTCTCTCCTACTGGTATATAGTTCACATTTTATCCCCTACTTCTCTTACTTGTTCCATCATCTCCTGGTCTTCCTAGCAGGCCTGGAGGACCAACTGGTCCAACTGACCCTGTATCACCAGCAGGACCTGGAAATCCAGGATCTCCTTGTGGACCTACACAGAATTATAAAAACATGTAAACTGAACACTTTATGCAATTGACAGCTAAAATCTAAATTAAGCTGCAACCAAAATTATAATTTGGGAACTACACAAAAGTAAAATACAGTAACTTCTTTTGTCTTTATGAAACATTTTTAAATGTGTAACAATTTCATTTTAAGGTGGGAGGATTTGGTTACTTTTCTACGGATTCCTGCCCATTTCTTGGGAACAGTTTTAACTCTTCATTGCTCTGTAGTAGTATCTTTGTGCTACATATTTCAGAATGCTGAGAGAAGTGTTTGCTTGAGATAAATACATGTAGCATTTAAAATGTGCATCTCACGTTAGGCACATTTGGCAGCGCACATAGGGAGATCATTTCAGCATCATCCTAGTTGAAATTATCCAAATTTTACAAAGTATATTTTTAAAATTGCTATAATGAGTAAATGTAAAAATTGCAGTTACACAGTGCTAAAGAAAACCTGAAACAGATATAAAGGACTTCATTAAACTGGAAAACCAAAATATTGGCAGTAGTTCAGTTCTCAAACAATTCTGCTAAAGGCCTCTCTCTGAAGAATGTATCCACTCACACACCATGCACATGATTCACTTTAAATGTTACTTGAGATATTAAGCATGGGGTTAAGTCTTTTGTTGCATGGACTGGAAACACACAGAAGCCAACGGAAAACAAATCTAAATGATTTTTTTTGGATGAGGCCCCTGTCTAATGGGGAGGTTCTGCTGAACTGGGGTTTTATTGTAACTTCTGTGTTCATGATCAGCCTTTGCTGCAGTAGAAATACAATTTATGGTAAGTTCTCTGTTAAAATGTTCTTACAATACAGGTTCGCCAAGTGTGAGATGCCAAAGCAAATCCCTTCCAGGCAGCAGGCTTGGCTGTTCCCCACTGCCTCCTGCTATGAAATAAGAACTTCCACACACCTTTTTACCAATTAGATGATAAAGATGGGGATAAAAGGAACTGGGACATAAAAACCCAGCCTGAGGATTAGGTAGGAAGGTAAAAAGATTGAGAGGTACTCTGCTGGGAGCACTAGTTCCAGGATTTCACCCCTGCTATGTGACAGAAAGCTTAAGCATAGTCTAAAATCTGTGTGTTGTGTCAATTCTGAAAATAGGTATTCTAAATTAAAAAGGGAAGGCCAGTTTTCTTATTTGCCATCCATTATCCAGCATGGGCTTATTTTTCATAACTTTCTTAAATATGCTTCCGTCCAATAACTAGGGATAGTCCTACAGATCTAGCTGTGACTGTATGCATAAAGAACTTTCAAGCAAACATCTAATCTGAAACTTGTATGTTTAACATAGATCCAGTAAGATCAGTGAGACGCAAACAAACACAGAATGTGGCCACTAGGAAGATAATATTTTAGGATCATGTCCCCTAGTGATTACTTTCAAACACCTTAGCAAAATAGGTCCTACACACTTTATACAGCAGAAATACTAGTTAAAACTAGCTATACCTTTTATAGGAGGCAGTGGAGTTCCAACAGCTCCAGGAGGACCTGGGGGCCCTTTTTCTCCTGGATCCCCCTGTAAGAGTCCAACAATAAATTTTACTGATAGATATAAATATGCAGTGTGCTAGCATGTAACTGAAATTTCAACAACGAATGGGGTATGTAAGGGTGTGACACACATCACCTGGGAAACTCGATTTTGACACTTCGTTGCATTTAAAACGAAAGAGATTTAAAATAATTTTCTTTCAAGTTACCATTGACTAAACAGTAGTACACCTATTGCACCTATCTATTTGATGCTTCAGAACTTGTGACTGCTGTATTTGATTTCATTCATTTATTGTAAAGATGAACCAATTACAGTAAATCAGTACCCATTTAATTGAGACGTTTTGATTTAACAACCCCAAGCTGTAATTATTTGCCTTAAAAGTCTATACTAGAATTTGAAAATTACTTCTATGATGACAGATAAGCATTAAGAAAAGAGGTTTCACAGTCTGACAGATACTATCGATGGTAAGAGATACTCAAAGCTTTTATAAGAAGTTTAAAACATCTGCATCAGGGAAACATAAAAGGACCTACTAATGACAAGGAAAATCACTTTTGCTTGGAGGATTTCTAAATTAGCTTACATTTTGATATTTAGAATAGCAAGTGAAGTGGATTTTATGGAAGTCTTTTATGTGGCAAATTGCATTAGACTTTTTGCTTTGTAGATCAGGAATCAACCCTGCCCTCTGGAGCAAATGGGAACTGAGAAAACAAGAATGTGAATGTGGGAACTGCGTAGTGAGGTTGCATTCCTGAGACAGGAGTTCAGGGCCTTTTAGGACACACACAAGGAGAACTGGGGCTGCAAAACTGGATACGCATTCTTACACAAGTAAAAACAAGGAGTCCATGCCTCCTTCTGGGCTTTTTTTAAAAAATTGATATTGCTATGATATTTAAACACTTCTGGAGCTATCCCTGACTGCCATCCTCTTCACCCTTCTATAGCTTTATATAATGTCAATGGCCAAGAACACTTTGCACTGCCTGTAAAGATCATACATTATTTTAACGAGACTCATTCCATTGGTAGCAGACACAAATGGTCTCGGAGTGATTTCAACAGGACTCATATCCTCCCTTCTATTTTGTCTGAAGAAGCATTCTGTGTTTTTTCATATTTATCACAGAAGGGCTGAGGTTGGAAGGGACCTCTGGAGGTCATCTCGTCCACCCCCCCTGCTCAAGCAGGACCACCTAGAGCTGGTTGCACAGGACCATGTCCAGATGGCTTTAGAGTATCTGCAAGGGTGGAGACCAGTGCTGAGTAGACGGCAAGGATGACCTCCCTCAGCCTGCTGGCAATACTTTTCCTAATGCAGCCCAGGATATCATTAGCTGCCTTTGCAGCAAGAGCATGTTGCTGGCTCATGTTCAAGATCCACACAGTGTTGCCAGTGTTCAGACTTGGGCATCAAAAGGTATGCCAGCAATTTCTTGAAGTCTATTCTTTGCTTTAAGCAACAGTTAACATTTTTTAAAGATGAAATCTACTTTGAATGCAACTGTTGGTTTTTTTTCCAAGTCTCTCTCTTTCTCCTAAATCTGAATGCATCATAGATTCTCTTTGAACATGTTTATTTCAGAAAATCTACATGAGGACAGGCTATTCTCAGGAGGGTTTTTAATCATATTCTTGTTCCTCCAGTTTATGTGATTTTTAGCAGATCATAAGCAACACTTACTGAGGCCAGATGAACAGCTGATGCAGTCTAGATAGATCTGCCCTTTCAGGAATATTCAGATTTATCCAATTGTTTTCCAAGCAAAACTACAGCATCTGTGTAATCATTCCAAATTTTGCATATCCGTATGACTTAACCTGATCTTTTTTTTAGGCTGTGTCTGTACTTGATTAATTTTCTTTTGCTTCATGCATTAGCAATTGTAATTTCATCTTTCCAAATCATTACTGCAGGCATTCAAACCTTTCCCTAACAGAATCTACCAACAATTAATTATTTTTTGCTTACTGTTTGTAGTGTTAATTGATGGCTTCTCAGGCTGTGGCTAACCAATGGAGACTGAAGAATGCACTGTTCTGTCTATACAATGTCTTGTCTCAAGTTTGTTAATGATGCCCCCAACTAAAACAATACGCACATTAGGGTGAGTACTTCTTAACAACAAAACTCTTACAGTTTGATTCTACTTTTGGGGAGCAATGGACTGTAATGATTTCTCTGTTTAAATAAGACATGCAATGCTTCTGTCTAATTAGTAGCTGAATGATCCACATTGTTGTGAAGCTGCTAATGGGCAAATGGGAGAAAAATGAACATCCGTAGGCAATTTTTTTTGCCCCAAGTATGACTACAGAAATGAAATCTTGGCTGAAGAAGCTGATCTAGCTCTCTCCTGGCAGTCCTAACTTTGAAACAAGTAAGTTTGTGACTAAACCAGATGTTTTTATTGTACTTTTACTTATTTACTCTATGTGTTTGTCATTTCTTATTTGTAAACCTGCTTCTTGCAAGCCTGTTTGTTGCTTTTTATTTGTCTGCTTTCAACTGTGTCTTTAGCAGTACACTACTTAGGGCAAGTTTGGACCAGCCACAGTTTACTTCCTTTTGTCATCATAGACTACATAGAGTGCGTTCCAATCTCAACCTTCGATTTATAAGAGAGGTGATTCTTACTCAAATCTCTTGAGTGCTGTTGTTCTGATTTCACAGGTGCAACTAATTGTGCTTTAAGAAAAATTGCTGGTTTATATGTAGCTTTCCAAAAAGATTATTTAAGAGGGAAATAAACACTTCTTGACTTTCATATTTCAGAATACTTAGACCGAAGTTCATTAGTGTCGCAATTTTTGCAATATTGTTTCTGTCGTCTGTACTGTGGTAATAAATTTGATGATGACCTTTCTCAACCTTGCTGTCTCTACTGATGATCTTGTCAGCCACCTTCTTTGTTGCAGCATTTCACTTCTCTTGCCCATACACCGCTGACCACTTGGACCCTATCCCAGTGACTCCCTAGACCTTGCCCTGGTAAGACTCACTGCTGCTTTGCTCCTTCTAGTGTAGCATCCAGAACTGTTTTTTATTCTGAATGTGCTTTAGCATTGTAGATTCCATAGAAAATATAATAGTTCCCTTCATTCAAGTTTTTGTTGTTATTCAGGATTACAATATGATCCAGTGGTCAGAATTACAATATGATCATTGGTTTTTTTACTGCTTAGCTCCCTGGATGTGACACCTGCACTTCTAATCCCTAATGGAAAGCAGCACGTATTGTAAAATAAAAAATGGCTAGTGTCATCTAAGTGAGCAAAAGTAGGAAATGTTTAAACAAAGCTTGTGTGAAGGAGTCTGATTTCCATTCTGGTAAGCATCTTGGAAAAGCTGCTTATGTGAACAGGTTGAACACAAACAAGCCCATCTGAATCAAATTTTGCCACCTCATTTGGTGCCAATTATCATACTAGTTCATAGACCAAAGTTTATAGGATTGTACTGTTACCTAAATATCAAGTTCCTTTACCTAGCATACCTCTCTGAGGAATGCAGCTCAACCACAAATAACTTGGAGAGTACTCCACTTCATGGATTAGATAGCTATACTGGTATAGTTAAAGGTACCTATTGGCAATTGGGATTAACCAATTTCTATGGTACGCAAAATAGAATTCCCACTCTCATACACACCAAGTAGGAATGTTTTCTGACGTTGTTACTTAGTACCATGGTGTTGAGTAACTATGACTATCACAAAAACAGTAAATCTTAAAGGTAATTATGACTGTATAAAAGGAAATGGTCTGATAAGCAGGTGCATTTGGCAGGAATCATTAGCATTTATATAAGGGAGTGTGTGTGTGTGCACGCACATGCATGTGTGTTTGTTGGGTTTTTTTTACCTGTATGCCTGGATAGCCAGGTTGTCCAGGAAAACCAGCAAATCCTGTTTCCCCCTGGAAAGGATCACATATATATAATTTGATTAAGCTGTTAAGACATAAATATAATTAATTGAACAAAACCCAGTAAGCCAGTCATACAATGCTGTCATGTTATAATAGCATCCAGTTTGTTTCAGAAAATTCAATGGGTTTGTAAAAGAGATGGTATGTTTCATAGAATCTCTTCTGTTAAAAAAACCCACAGCATGTATTGCCAGGTTATTTAGACAGTGGTCAATGGATTCAGTGTAGCTGGGGCACAGAGCTAGCTAGAGTACAAACCAGCAGACTCTAATAGACTGTCTGCTTAATACAGCTGAAATTGGCTTGCTGCCTGATGAATGACCCTGTTGAACTATTATTGCATGGAAAGCAGCTGCATATCAGGTCCTCCTCTCCTTTTATGATCTGCTAATATACTCATCCATCCATCCAAACTCCTTAGGTAGGCAGTGATGAAAACAAAGTAAAAAGTAATTTTGCAGATAAAACAGTCACCTGGAGCATAACTCTAGATGCAAATATCTGTACATTAATGTGATTTATGAATAGCATGATCATTACCTTAACTAGATTTGAAAATGAGCTGGGGAGAGGAGATAGGAAAAAGGGCAAGATGTAGATCTATATACCTACATCTGTCATTCTTTACTCTAGTAAGATGTTCACAACTAACATTTAGGAGACTTAAGAGCAAAACTGGAATTTCTTGAGCCAGAAAGATGAACAAAACATGCATATAACACAAAATTACACAAACAGTGTCACCATGGCAAACAAAGTTAACACGCTGCATAACTTTTCTATCATGCTATATGCATGTCCCGCTGGCTTTTCCTCCTGCCTGAAACTTCAGATCCCATTAGCCAATTTTAGCCAAATTTCAGACAGCAGCAGAAATTCAAAGACAAAGAGTTCATACAACTTCTGTGGCAACAGGCAGCAGGAGAGAAAGGAAGGAATGCAATGTGAGCTATCAAGTATGTGGAAATTCCAAATCTGCACAAATCCATAGAAAACCAAATCTCGATCCCACTGTTCAGGGAGCTGCTTATACTTTATGTCTTCTTACCTTCATTCCAGGAAAACCTGCAGGTCCATAAGAACCAGGATTACCCTAATAAAAGCAAGTAGAATGTGAGCTAAAACAGTAAAAGCTTATTTAAAATTGCACTTGTTCAGAATTGCTGAGTAGTTAATGTTCCTTAGATAATTATTACTTGGGATATTTCCCAAAAACTTTGCAAATACTTTATATGAGACATGGGCATGAATTTGAACTGTAGACTAAAGTTAAACCACCCAGGTCTTCACTTAATTTTTTTGTCATACTGCACCAAGCACATTAGTGGACATGTTGCTCCATGTGAGCACTGCTATGCAAATCAAGCACAAGCTGCTGTAAAAATTGCCATTGGCACATATGGAATACATTAAAATTACTGTGTTAGTACTGTGCTACTCCAGAGCAGCTTTGTGCAGTTCTAAATATTTAGAGGATAACCCTACAGATTTACTTTCTTTCCAAGGCCAGAAAGTCTGTATGAGCTTATGTTTAAGTCTGAGACAGGGTGAGTCCCAGGGCAGGACTCCTAAATAGTCTATACGGAAAGTATGACAGATTGTTTAAAAAAAAAAAAATCCTTAAAATCTTTCTTGGAAATGCAAACTTAAACTGCCAAATATATTATGAACCTAATTATAGTGAATTTGAGAAGTAATTTATTCTGCGACTTCCTTACCCGCAATCCAGGGAATCCAGGAATGCCTTTTTCACCCTTTTCTCCTCTCCCAAGTACACCCTGGAGCATTCAAAATACTTTGTTTAAACAAGATGCTCAGTGAAGTTTGCCACAAATTTTAATTTTTGTGCATGTTTAAGTTATGTACATATTAGGTTAACGGATTTTGTTGACTTGCCAGGCTCAATCACTGGCGCTTACTTCATACAGCACCACTAGCAGTGCCTGCGTAGCTTCAGTTATTCAAAGAACCTGCTATGGTCTCTTCTCTAAGCTTAATGTGCTTTCAACAGTTTATTTTTTTTTAAGCTCTATGCATCTTTTGGGCTGCATCAATCAATTTCTCAGTTTCATCTTATAACTAACAAGTGTACCATTATCTACATGGACAGCCAGTACTGGAGCAAGCATATAACGTCCATCTTTCTCAAAGTAAATCTGATATAAAAAGATCGGTTTTGTCTCCTTTTCCAGTGCTAAGTAACAGTGGTCCTTTTATGATGGAAAACGAATTTCTGAAAAAGTGCTAGACTTAGAACTCAGAAACGTGATATTCAGGCTTGTCGTTTCTTCTCTTCTGCCTACAAAGCTAAATAAATTTTTAACATAAATTAGACTCATTCTTTTGTCCCCAATTATCTTCTGTTTTTCTGAGATCTGGTAATTCCCTGCCTGTGGATTTTCCTTCTTCAAATTACCAGCAATAAAGACTCCAGAATCATTTTTGTGGCTGCTTCTGCTTAGCATCCAGGAACTCCCTACTGGCACACCAATGTTTAAATTAATCATGCTGACAGAAAGAAAAGAAAATGTATAATAGATAGCAAAGAGCAACTCTTTCTCCAAACAGGTGGCTCTACCTTCTCTACTTGTGAGGATAGCCATAATGTGAAGTTAAAGTCTTTCCCTACCATACTTAGAGAAGCGTACCTCATGCCCTATTGAGAGCACATACAGATTTCTCTGTTTCTGTTCTTGAGAAAAAAATAATCTGTGCTTCTATTTTCTTCACAGTCCCAGTCCGTTATGTGTCAGTAGCCCAACTGGAAACAACACTGACCTTTTGCTACCAGGTAACATTCAATAGGTATGTATACAACAGACTCAGAAAGGTTTTCCGAAGGGTTTTGAAATATTTTTGCTTTCACACTGGTTTAGGTAGTGATTAAATTTCACAGCACAAATGCTGTTATTTCTTCCATCACCTTGTGCTTTAAAAGATTAACTTATTAATCACAGAAGGACTTTGCCAGCACCATGGGGAAAAAAAAAAAAAAATCACATTACTTACTTTGGGTCCACGTGGCCCTCTGTATCCGGTTACCCCAGGTAGTCCTTTTTGGCCCTATGCATACAAGGAAAGTTTTTGTGTATATTAATATGCAGGACATGTCTATGTACCATTTAACTTTTTTTAAGTCCGGTTCTGATGTACAACTGTTAAATAGTATTTTCTTAAGCACTGCACCTGTTCCTCTAGGTGCACTAGGCAGAAGAAAAACGAGAAAAACAATGTTTTAAAAATCAGAAAATTCAAAATTTAAAAACAAGTTAAAAATCAGAAAAACTGATTTTTATTTCTCTTAACACTGTCAAACCAGTATAATGACTGTGGAGTGAGACGTATCTTTTCACTTGCAGGGACCTGCTAATCAGGGCTTTGCTCCTACAGATGTGTGTGACAGTATTTCTTTTTTGTTTGCTGCTCTATTTAGTTTGATGCAAGTATTCACATGCATAAATCTACACTTTTGTGCATAGCCCCAATCTGAATGGAATGCATGGCTGGCTACATGGTTATGATCATGTCATGTGTTGCACAGCAGCATATGTCACACTTCTCAGTAACGTGGGGAGTTTAGGTTCTTTCAGTCCTTTCCCTCTTCCTCGTACACCTGTACATAGCAACCATTTGCATAATCAAAGCCTAAGATCCAGTATGTGAAATCCATCGGTTCCCTGAGTTGAAGCTGCAGGGGCTGGCAATGCCAAATTCAGTTTTTCATTTGTGTATTAGAGCAAATCAGACTTGAGGACATGGAGACTCCAATATAGGGCACCGTAATGTGATTTTTGTAACTCCTGTTCTTTTTAAACAAACATTCTAATGTTTTAAGGCACACAACTGTGGACACAGAGGTGTGATATTAAAGTAGTACAGTAAATAACAGGAACTTGCATTAAAAACAGAAAACAAAATCACACTTAATTTTCATATTGAAAGAGCACCCTAGAAGGGTTAGGGTTGATACTTCGAGACATTACATTGGAGAAATCTCAAAGAGAGCAATTGCCAAAGATCTGAAAAATAAAAGCGTTAGTGAAGAGCCACAGAGATTCAACAGTAGAGTAACCAACTTTACCTGAGATGCCTGAAATATGATTTGCTAATGACAAACAGTGAAGAAAATCAAAGCAAGGACAGTATCTCCTTTCTGCATGAAGACAGTCTTCCCTCAAGGACATGAGCTAAAGTACACATGGGCTCTCCTCTCCTGAAAGCCTGTAGGAAGGGTGCTGAACAACAGGATTCCTGCT